CACCATTCTAGAATATGACAGATGGTGAGTTATTACTGAGTTATTACAACGGGTCGTGCGACAGCCTCCCACCTCCGTTTGCATCTAAAGTCTTAAGGAACCTTTTGCGTGGGTCACGATTTGGTCCCCTTAAAGTGCATCGGAGCAAAACTATTCACTGCGAACAAATGTTATGGCACAAGCGAAATAAGAACTAGTGCTATGATGGATGAAGAACACTCTGGTGTTGTTCAAAATTTCTGCTTGGAATAACGAGTTTTGATGCCGATCTTTATTCGTTGTACTTACAACTGTCGTATCAGAGGACCTTCTGTCTGGAAAACTCCCTATTTTACATGCCTACACGGAATCGGTATGAATTTCAGAAGAAAGTCCGAGTTTTCCTCCCATTTTCATAACCGGTGCATTGCGGATATTTGAATTAATCGTTCAAAGCATATGGTCTTCTAATCCAGTGGCTGAATGTACACACAGCAAACACCGGATATTCGATTGTTTACGGTGCGGATTACTGGAGTTGTGTTTGGTCTGTAGATCTGCCTTCAGATAATGACAGATTTAGTTTCTGCTAGAACGCATTCTTTTTCAGTTCAGCTCAGTGACGCAGTCCTGCATCAGCTGCATTGCAGATGCTCAAGTACCACGGAGCCAAAGCCTGCTTGAACGGTCCCCCTAGGTTACTACAGAAAACTAGCCGGTGCGCCTAGTAAATGCGGTTTCAGAAACTGATGTGTTATGATAACCAGCAGATTAAAAAGCTACCATGTGATAACTACTACGGGGTACCGGAATAACTCCTTGTCAACAAGAAACTTTCTCTTTTGATTCTTTCCTACAACCTGATCTTGATCTCTATTTCACCGACAGACAGCGAAAAGAACGGACGTTTTATTGCTGCCCAACACAATTTAGTGATTGATCTGATGACACATCGACAATGACCTTTCGATTCATATCTCACGGACTCTTCAGGCTAACGAACTTTGGTTGGCTTATTGCAATTGCCGATGTGGTTACAGCGTTATTTGGCGGAGAAAGGTTGGATTTTTGCCAAGATCTGGTTCCACATTGAATAAATGTTGACTATATGTGTATCTAGGAAGTAAATCTTTCTGCGCAGTTATGTTGGCTACTGCCTCGACGTTTGATCGAAGAGTTCCCCAAGCTTCGTCTGAGATGATAGACAAAATTCATTAATTACGAATTCAATAAATATTTTAAAGACGATTAATAATGCGATATGCGAGCAGGTCATCATAATGGTCACTGATTCCACTACTGCCTGAAGCCTTCGCTATGATTTTGCCATAAAATTCTTTTTTTTGCCAATTCTATTCATCTTGATCCGGTAACTTCTTCAGGTCATTCTGCCACCAACTTGAATGTTCTCCTAAAAGCTGTTTACTCTCTTTTGGAACTCCGCCTAATGTCTCTCTGGTCTAGTAGCGATCGGTTCTTCGTATAACGTGTCCTGCCTATTGCTGTTTTATTTTTTCCCTCGGACAATGATATCGCAGATTCATCCGTTCACCCTCGTCCTCATACCTTTTCCTGTTATTCCCAACATAGGTCATTCCATGCTGCGCTATGTAGTTCGCAATTTATGAATAGATTTCACATGTAGTTCCGCATCCATTGGTTGGCTCTGGGATCAGGCATCGAGGAGAAATTATTTCCGTTTCGAGTACAATAGCAGTTTCCGCAATCGGAACACTTCTGGTCTTCCAAAAGTGCTCTATTCCATTTCTGTTTTTCTCTTGATTTGACTTGGACGATTCTTCGTTGAAGAGATCAGCCCTTCCAGATAGACAAAGTTTTGAACCTCTTCAAGTCCAGGTCGTTCGCCATCAACTGGTTGTCGGTCCGCTGGTAGTATTTGCTAAGCATGACGAGTCTTCTTCGAGTTAATTTTCAGTTCTCTTTGATGCTGGCGTTGTTCAGCTCTTAGATTCTTCCATGGAGTTCTTCTGACGACTTCAGGAAGGTCAAAATCTCGTTCACAAACCGCAAGAGGCATTGGTGGTGCCCGTTTATGGTCAGCCTTGATTTTCCAAACGCAGTGTTTTGAAAACTTTTCTTATGACTGTTCTTAATAAGTTCGGTGACGTTGCGTCTCCCTGCCTGATGACCTTTTCGATTTTGAACTTGCCTGTGCTTCGGTGAAGCTATTAACTGGCAGATGCATGCTTGCAGATCATGGCGATGATGTTCATGTAACTTTTCTCCATTTCTTGGCTCATCAAGGAATCCAATATAAAACGGATGTAGCCTTCTTGTAATCGATGAATTTCACACAGACAGGAAGTCGCTGTTCGTTGTTTATCTGATTTACTTATTTTCCACCTGGAGTGATCAATCATACTTAATCAGCTCTTTGCTGACTCCATAAGCTGTGGAGGGTCCAATTTAAAAAAAATAAATTACTCCATGTTTCTGAATATAGGAGATAATATAATGTGTTATACATACGCAGTAGTTAGAATGTTAACAGTTGCACATCTTTAACTGAAGGAAATTCTCATGGGATGTGCATTTGTTTGTAGCGCGCTAATGCTGCAAGATAATGAAGGCAGTGGAGAGGGTACTTGAAGCTCGAAGATCTAAGTCTGCCCTTTTAACGACATTGTCCCCGTCTCCTCAGATCGATAACGTGATCGCGTTCCAAGTAAATTTTCTTCTTCTCGACGACAATGCACATGTTTCTGATGGAGCTTCCATGGTTCACGTGCTGTCTGGAGGCTTGCCACTCGCCTTGACAAAGGACGATGAAAACTTGACACATGGGCAGTTGCTGCCGGACGGCAGTCGAACGAAGAAAGGACCAGAATTGAATCATTCAGATTTCATTTCAGATAGCACTCCGCGAAAATTGCGCCTCTCCATTGCTCCCCGCTGCCGTCCTCGATCAGCAGCAGGGGAGGACATCTCTGGCAGAGGTGGTATCCCGCGCGGTGGCTGAGCGGGTCCCCGGGGCGCGAACGCCGCCACGAGTCGTAATCGAATCATAAATGTTTCCACAAGGCACATGAATCTTTCGTCGAACAAATGAGGCGGACATCGCGTTGACGTTTAACATGTTCCATTATCGAACCGTGATGGCCAATTTCGCAATGCCTTTCTTGGGGGACACTTTGATTAAGTCTGAATGACCTCTGTTGCTGGACTGGTCATTATGTTTGCCATTTTTTATGCAGCGTTTCTCTGTTCTGAAGTTGCAAGCTATTAATTACGAACGCCCGGCGAAGTGGTGTCAAAACAGGGCCACATCATGGCAGCGAAGCAGCTTCAAACCGGACTGGAGATGTGTGACCGAAGTTACAGGAGTATAGTGCATTATACTGTGTATCAAACGGAGTATTGCGCATCTGGTGCCATATTTCACGGTATATTGCACTGCCCCTTGCTGCAGATATCCTCTAGGGACATTTGAGCAGGTTATGGCTATACCGTATTTGGGCACTTGCAATAACAGTTTTATCCTGCATCAGTGTTTCAACTAAAACGACCTCGTGTTCATCACAGAGGATGTTCAAGGAGATTGTACTCATTATGAACATCGAAACATATTCGTTCGCCGTAGTATGCTGAAGGCTAAGTACCCATATCTCTTCCAATACCATATTTCAAGGTATTGGAATATATGCCGCACCAATCCTTCTCACTGTTATGGAGTCATTTAAACAGGTCATGACTCCATGACGTTTTAACACCTCCAGTGCCAAATTATCTCGCTTCATATTATTCGTCATTGCAACCTGATATTCAGCACGAACGATATTTCAGCAGTTGGTACTGTTTATGTGCTATCATATAAACATAAAAATATGTTCCTATATCACAGTATGCTAAACGGAACACAACTGCTTCGAGGATGGCTTTTACGGCATGATGCACAGCCCGTGTATTTTATATATTTTCTAATATACAAATTTTACAGAATTTCTTTAAGGGGACCAATAGCACCTAGTCAGTATGATTGCGCTAGATTTGAAAACAAGAATCAGAGTTGTCATTTCTTGAATATATAAATAATATACTCTACAGTTATTCCTGTGAATCCTTCAGTTCATGGCAGGCTTCGAAGCCGCTTTGTCAACAAAAGGCCTGCGTCGTAAAACGATCGCAGTTGCTGATCTGAAAAACCTAATTGTCCCATCTCAGTCTCTAATCCAAAGGAAATAAGTTGACGATCCATTTATGTATTAAATATGGATTTTATATTAAA